AAAAAAAAAAAAAAAGAATACTTTGGTTGGTTTTCTTAGCATACAATTATGTGAAGTACTGAAAGTGGTATTAGGGATGCCTGGGTGGCTCAGTCGACTGGTTAAGTGTCTGCCTTCAGCTCAGGTCATGATCCCAGGGTCCTGGGATCGATCCCCAGGTCAGGCTCCCTGCTTTTCCCTCTGCTTGCCGCTCCCCCCACTTGTGCTCTCTTTCTCTCTCTCTCTCTGACAAATAAATAAATAAAATCTTTAAAAAAAAGTGCATTAGTTACCTATTGCTTTTATTTCTGTTTTTATATCAAATTTCATCAAATCTGAAATGCTATCAACTGTAAGACACACCATTATTTTTATTCCATCAAGAAAAAAAGCTGTCAAACTGTGACATGCCATCAATTATAAAACATACCCTGCCATCAAAGATGATAAAATGTGACAAAAAATGTGAGTCTTACAATCAATGAAACATGGCAGATTTTCATCAGCATTTTGATATTATATTATACCTAAGCATTGACTGGGACCACCTTTGTAATTTTTTTCTTTCCAAAGTGCCTTTAGTATGTATAATACTGGCTCTTGGCTTCAAGTATATCATATTTACCATGTTAAGAAAGTAGAAACCTGTTATACCTTTTTATATAAATTTAAATCAAGATTCAGTTTTACATTTCATAAGATGAGTTTTTGATATCTACTGAGACAGAGGGTTTTTTTTCTCTTTTTTCCTATTAATTTGATAAATAATGTGGAAACTTTTTCTTTTATTTACCTGTATACTATTTAGTTGTGAGGGGCAATTTCTTTAGGAATTCTGCATAAGTAGATATGTCCTATAATTCCATTTTGGTGTTTAACTTTTCAGGTTAAGAGATAGTTGAAAACAAATGTGTAACAACAGGAAAAAGTACACAATTGTATGCCCCCAGGATAAATATTCAGCTATTAAAAATCATGATGTTATAAAATATTTAGTGACTGTCAAATGTTCATGATATATTGAGAAAAGCCAGTAATGAAAGTACATGCATAAATATAACAAATAATACTTTTAAAATTAAATAAGAGCTTTTTGCTCTTTCCCTCCAATATGTATAAACAAGCATATAAGAAATATTTCCTAAAAAAAAAAGAAATATTTCCAATGAAGAAAAGAACAGAAATATTTCCTCATAAGAAATGCAGACTATTTGCACTTCAAGAAAATATTAGAGCTAATGAACTCTAAAAGAAATTAGCAGAGCTAGAAAATATCAGCTAGACCTCTGCCAAGGAGGCAAAACTCCAGGGAGAAAATGAAATGGCATTTCAGATGTCCTCTTTGGTGTAATTTGGTTAGGTACGGTATTCAGTACGAAACCCTCGCCTCACTCTTAGAACAATGAACAGTGAGCAGGACAAGGCTGGCCATACAACGTGTCTTCCCATGCAAGCCTGCCTTCTCACATCTGCTGCAGCAACCAGTCCAAACAAGAGAGGTGGCCTGGATTCCTGGACACATGGTAGGAGCAAGAGAACCCTCAAAACTGCTGATTCTATGACTTTTACATCTTCCTCCTTTCCTCTCCTTTTACTGGCTAGCAGGGCTCTTTTGGGGTAGAAGGAACATTTTAAAAACAAAACAAAACAAAGGATTTGCTTATCTGAAACAATAACCACAAAAGTCGTTATTCCAGTCATGTCTGTTTCAAGCCTAATCAAACAGCTAGAGGTAAGAACCCCTAAGGGCCTAACCTTTTTCAAGAGCCCACAGAGCTCTATCTCCTCAAAGAGTGTATGTTTGTGTGTGAATGTCTAGTAAAAAAGAAAAAGAGAGACTTTATACTGAAAGTATAAATATGTATGACTTTTGTAATCAGTGGGGAAAAAAAACCCCAGATGTTATTTTTAAAAAAAGAAAGAATAGAAGAAACAGAAAATTCTTTCACATTACGAGCCAACAGTAAATAAATTAAATATAGAAGATATATAATCATAAAGTTGAATTAAGAGTTATCAAATTTGAACCCTTTTGTCATGTTCCATGAAAATTTACCATGTATTCAACCATAAGGAACATGTCAATAACTCTACAAAGTAAAGCTGAGATTGATAATAACAGTGATTTAAATGTTAAAACCCAACCGCTTAGGATTGAAAGCCACACGGGTAAGGGAGCATCTGTGTTACTCGCTCTGAGGCACTGAGCCTGGCACACAGTAGAGGCACCCCACGCGCATGTGCCGGAGACGCGGTGTGCCAGGCAGTTTCAGATTCCTTATCTCACGTAAATCCTCCACACCCCCGACAATGTCTCCCCCAGTCTGACAGATAGGGACCCTGGAGCCCACACGGGTTTAGGCATACGTATAGGCCTATGCACAGAGCTGGTGTTCACACCCAAGCCTGCCACACGGCGCAGCCTCGGACCCCTCTCCTATTGCTCATCCTTTTAACTGTAACCATCATAGAGACCTCAAACAACTCATTTCCCTTCATAAAATTAATAAATCGAAACCAAAACTCATGAATCTGCTACTTAGTCTTTTCCATTAGAGATTTCCATTCCAATAGAGATACCTTGCTTTTCTTTTTCTTTTTTAAAGATTTTATTTATTTATTTATTTGTCAGAGAGAGAGCACAAACAGGGGGAGTGGCAGAGGGAGAAGCAGACTCCCCACTGAGCAGGGAGCCCAATGTGGGACTCGATCCCAGGACCCCAGGATCATGACCTGAGCTGAAGGCAGACGCTTAACGACTGAGCCATCCAGGCGCCCCTGCCACTTACTTTTGATAGTAACTGCAATACTGGAGCAAAAATGATAATACTGGCATTTTAGTGTCTTTCCACATAATACTGAAAATCTCAGTAGAAGTACTGATAATCTTATTTAAAAGTGAGATAGGCTGCCATTGTCTTTTGCACTTATTCTACACATGCTCAAGAGTGCACGTTACTGGCAGCAGTAAAGTACTAATGCATTATGTAACTCTCTGTATATATGCAGATGTAAAGAATACAGATTTTAGATTTTTTAAATAAAAGAATTTAAGCTTTCAAAACTTAAAAAAACTTCACTATACCAATAAAAACATTAGTATTTCAATACTGTAAAATGGCATGAGATGTTAGAGTACTGAAAACTGTTATTGTCACCTCAACTATGCGACTCTGAGTTACTTAACCTTTCTAAATCTTAGTTTTCTCATTTGTAAAACACAGTAAAAATACTCTCTAAAGGATTAAATAACACATATGAAACATCTGGTATGTAGACACTTAACTGGTAACTACCATCCTCCTCCCCTGCCCCGCCACCATCCCCATCCCCATTGGGTGTGCCTGAATAGGTCAAAAGCACAGACATTTCTAAAACTGCATGGGAATCCTGTGTCAGTCCCCTGCTGTGTGGGTGTTTCTTTTGAGCTTAATTATGTTCTGTGTCTTCTTTCCTTTCCTTATCAATCTCCTTAGCAGAAAAGGATATGCAACAAGAAACATGGAAAGCAAAAGACCATGATAATTCTCAAACCCTATTAATAACCTTTCATTTAATCTTTTAATTCGATCATTGTATCTGTGTGAAATATAGAACATATAAAATAACCTTTGCTAATTCAGGCCTTCCTCAAAGCAAAAAAAGTCTCAAATACACAACCTAACCTTACACCTAAGGAACTGGAAAAAGAACAGCAAATAAAGCCTAAAACCAGCAGAAGAAGGGAAATAATAAAGATTAGAGCAGAAATAAATGATATAGAAATTTAAAAAAAAACAACAACAGTAGATCAGCGAAACTAGGAGCTGGTTCTTTGAAAGAATTAACAAAGTTGATAAACCCCTAGCCAGACTTACCAAGAAGAAAAGAGAAAGGACCCAAATAAAATCACAAATGAAAGAAGGAGAGATCACAACCAACACCACAGAAATATAAACAATTAAAAGAGAATATTATGAGGACTTATATATCAACAAATTGGGCAATATGAAAGAAATAAATTCCTAGAAACATATAAACTACCAAAACTGAAACAGGAAGAAATAGAAAACTTGAACAGACCCACAACCAGCAAGGAATTTGAATCAGGAATCAAAAATCTCCCAACAAACAAGAGTCCAGGGCTGGATGGCTTCCCAGGGGAATTCTACCAAACATTTAAAGAAGAAATAATACCTATTCTTCTAAAACTATTCCAAAAAATAGAAATGGAAGGAAAATTTCCAAACTCATTCTATGAGGCCAGCATTGCCTTGATCCCAAAACCAGACAGAGATCCCGCTAAAAAGAATTACAGAGCAATATCCCTGATGAACATGGATGCAAAAATTCTCAACAAGATACTAGCAAATTCAATCCAACAGTACATTAAAAGAATTATTCATCATGATCAAGTGGAATTTATTCCTGGGCTGCAGGGGTGGTTCATTATCTGCAAATCAATCAATCAATGTGATACACCACATTAATAAAAGAAAGGATAAGAACCATAGAATCTTCTTAATAGATGCAGAAAAAGCATGTGACAAAATACAGCATCCTTTCCTGATAAAAACCCTCAAGAAAGTAGGCATAGAAAGAACATACCTCAACATCATAAAGGCCATACACGAAAGTCCCACAGCTAATATCATCCTCAATGGGGAAAAGCTGAGAGCTTTTCTCCTGAGGTCAGGAACACGAGAGAGATGTCTACTCTCACCACTGTCGTTCAACATAGTACTGGAAGTCCTAGCCTCAGCTATCAGAAAACAAAAAGAAATAAAAGGCATCCAAACTGGTGAGGAAGAAGCCAAACCTTCACTCTTCACAGATGACATGATACTCTATGTAGAAAACTCGAAAGATTCCACCAAAAAATTTCTAGAACTGAAACATGAATTCATCAAAGCTGCAGGATATAAAATCAATGTACAGAAATCTGTTGCATTTCTATACACCAATAATGAAGAAGAAGAAAGAGAAATCAAGGAATAGATCCAATTTATAATTTCACCAAAAACATTAGATACCTAGGAATAAACCTAACCAAAGAGGTAAAAGATCTGTACTCTGAAAACTATACAACACTTACGAAAGAAATTGAAGAAGACACAAAGAAATGGAAAAACATTCCATGCTCATGGATTGGAAGAGCAAATATTGTTAAAATGTCTATACCACCCAAAGCAATCTACACACTCAGTGCAATCCCTATCAAAATACCACCAGCATTTTTCACAGAGCTAGAACAAACAGTCCTAAAATTTGTATGGAACCAGAAAAGACCCCAAATAGCCAAAGTAATGTTGAAAAAGAAAAGCAAAGCGACAGGCATCATGATTCTTCAAGCTCTTTTACAAAGCTGCCATCATCAAGACAGTATGGTACTGGCACAAAAACAGACACATAGATCAATGGAACAGAATAGAGAACCCAGAGATGGACCCATAGCTATATGGTCAATTAATCTTTGACAAAGCAGGAAAGAATATCCAATGGCAAAAAGACAGTCTCTTCAACAAACGGTGTTGGGAAAACTGGACAACAACATGCAGAAGAATGAAATTGGACCACTTTCTTACACCATACACAAAAATAAATTCAAAAAACAGGAGCCTGGGTGGCTTAGTTGGTTAAGCGACTGCCTTTGGCTCAGGTCACGATCCTGGAGTCCTGGGATCGAGTCAAACATCAGGCTTCCTGCTCAGCGGGGAGTCTGCTTCTCCCTCTGACCCTCCCCCTTCTCATGTTCTCTCTCTCTCATTCTCTCTCTCTCAAATAAATAAAATCTTAAAAAAAAACCAATTAAAAAAATAAATTCAAAATGGATGAAAGACCTAAATGTGAGACAGGAAACCATCATAATCCTGGAGGAGAACACTAACAGTAACCTCTTTGATCTCAGCCACAGCAACTTCTTACTAGACACATCACCAGAGGCAAGAGAAACAAAAGCAAAAATGAACTATTGGGACTTCACCAAAATAAAAAACTTCTGCACAGCAAAGGATGGGAGAAGATATTTGCAAATGACATATCTGATAAAGGGTTAGTATCAAAAAAAAAAGGGTTAGTATCCAAAATCTATAAAGAACTTATCAAACTCAACACCCAAAAAAACAAATAATCCAGTTAAGAAATGGGTAGAAGACAAGAACAGACATTTTTCCATGAAAGACATCCAGATGGCTAATAGACACATGAAAAGATGCTCATCATCACTCATCATCAGGGAAATTCAAATCAAAACCACACTGAGATACCACCTTACACCAGTTAGAATGGCAAAAATGGACAGGGAAAGAAACAACAAATGTTGGAGAGGTTGTGGAGAAAGGGGAACCCTCTTACACTGTTGGTGGGAATGCAAGCTGGTGCAGCCACTCTGGAAAACAGTATGGAGGTTCCTCAAAAAGTTAAAAATGGAGCTACTCTACAACCCAGCAATTGCACTACTAGGTATTTACCTAAAGGCTACAAAAATACAGATTCGAAGGGGTACATGCACCCCGATGTTTACAGCAGCATTATCAACAATAGCCAAACTATGGAAAGAGTGTTAAGTGTCCATCAACTGATGAATGGATAAAGAAGATGTGAGATATATATATATTATATATAAAATATTACTCAGCCATCAGAAAGAATGAAATCTTGCCATTTGCAACAATGTGGATGGAACTAGAGGGTATTACGCTAAGCAAAATAAATCAGTCAGAGAAAGACAAATACCATATGATTTCACTCATATGTAGAATTTAAGAAACAAAACAGATGAACATAGGGGAAGGGAAGGAAAAATAAAATAAGATTAAAAAGAGAGAGAGGCAAACCGTAAGAGACTCTTAATGTAGAGAACAAACTAAAGGTTGATGGAGAGGAGCGGGGTGGAGGGGAAGGGCTAAATGGGTGTTGGGTATTAAGGAGAGCACTTGTTATGTGAGCACTGGGTGCTGTGTGTAAGTGATGAATCACTAAATTCTACTCCTGAAAGCAATAAAACTCTATATGTTAACTAACTTGAATTTAAATAAAAACTTGGAAAAAAATATTTACTAAATCCACAAACAAGGCTTAAACCATAGTTGTAGATGATAAACAACCTCCTTAGGAAAACAATCATTTTGGTTATTAATACTGAGTATAAAAATTACAATCAGAACTGAAGGTTGGGATATAAAACTATGAAATTATAAGTAAAATTTCATAATAAACACAAAGGAAAAATCTTAATTGTTTTGTTCTACTAATGTTGTGTTAACAAGAGTACTTTGTCAGACATTGCAGTCCCAATTTTAAGGGTCGAGAAGTGAAAAAGAACTGATCCCAAGACTCTCTGAGGTGAAGTGCTAAACGGAAACATGTATTCCTGAAATAAGTACTATGAAGGAAAGTAAAATGGGTGACACATACCACTACCATGTTCTCCTCTAAGCAGTTCATATGTTAAGTCATACTATGTTATCTCTGTGTTGACAGGCTATTTAGGTAAAAATTTTAGTGGGGACGGCCAGATGTTTGAAGTGGGATTTGGTGTTTGGTCTGCTCATGTGCAGTGGACACTGACCTTGTTGAGAGAAAATAATTGTGGCACAGTTCCAAAAATAAATAAATCATGCTCTGAACAGGTGAACTACAATTCCACTCTCCCTACAGTGGAAACAATAGGAAAGTAATAGATGATGAATGAAAAAAATGGAGGGGCACCCGAGTGGCTCAGTCGTTAAGCGTCTGCCTTCGGCTCAGGTCATGATCCCAGGGTCCTGGGATGGAGCCCCACATCGGGCTCCCTGCTAACAGGAAGGCTGCTTCTCCCTCTCCCACTCCCCCTGTTTGTGTTCCCTCTCTCGCTGTCTCTCTCTGTCAAATAAATAAATAAAATCTTCAAAAAAAAAAAAAAGTTTGCTTAAAAAAAAGAAAAAAATGGAGATAGCATTCTAGCAAATTCATTAGAATCGGACTAACAGAGCACTCCGATCATCACAAAAGCATCTGAAAATGGCTTCATTATACACAAAATCTCTCGGTAATGGGGTGTTTCTCATAGAATAGCATTTTTAATGGTAGCTATTTCTGAGGCCATAGCTAAATCCAGCATTAGGAAATCAAGAATGAGATGTTAGTAGTCAATTATTAACCTTTCTTAAGGCAATCAGTGATGGTTCCAGAAAATGGTCTGAAATAATTAGCATTTGTTGAATGTGTCTACAAGGTGCCCTACGCCTACCAGATGTTTTCTATGTATTATTTAATCATCAATCTTTTGTCCTTCAGAAAAGAACACAATTTCTGTGGTTATCTTTATTTCTCACCATGGTTTCTGGTAAAAAGTTTAAAATAATATACTTTTCGAATGAAGATTATAGGACCCAGATTGAAAGGAGGCAAACTCGCCAGCACACCAGGAAAGAAAAGATGCCATCCAGTTTCTCTTGCTGGTGAAAACCCAATCCTACCTCTTTCCTAGCCAGCTACGAAAGCAGTAAGCCTTAAGTAAGTTTGCTCACAATTACATTTTGAGAAAATTACCTGGACTCTTAGCTTTGCGGCATCCATCTTTTTACGGAACTCCTTCTGTAATTTTACCTTCAAAGCAACATCAGAAAGATCTTTGCTTTCTAGCTCTTGCAGCTGCTTCTCTGTTTCAGTTAATTCCACCTTCGCGCGTTCTGCTTCGTGCTCAAGTTTTGTTACTTTCAGAGAATACTGTTTGCTTACAGACTTGGCATCGTTACCTTCACCACAGTAATAAGAGTAATAACAATTATAAATTATGTTTAAAAAAATAAACTAAGTAAAACATCAAAACCCTAAAAATGCTCTATTCTTCAAAATCCAGCTGGGCATGTATCTATTTAAGACCCAGCAGTATGAGCCCCACTGTCCTCGCCCAACCCCATCAAATACAACTCGACACCTGGCCTCTTACTAATCAGCTGCTTACTGACTGTTGGCACCTGGTGCCAGCCCAGCCCCTCAGAGGCTCATCTTTGTGTGTTAGTGTGACATTTCTGACTTTCTGAATTTGGGGGTTAGCTCTGCTGGCATCAAACTCCAGGTAAGAAAAATATTTGGGGTGACTCTTTGGCTTTTTGCTTACTACACGTTGGCTTCCTGCTATCTGTAATCGTGTTTTCTCTACTATGAAAAATTCCCAACATATCTAAAGTAAAAAAATAATATGATGAAGCCCCATCACTGAGATTTGAGAGTTAACAAGATTTTGCCATAGTTGCTTCATCTATGCCTTTCTTCTGTTTTAATTTGCTGAAGAATTGTAAAAACAATCTCAGATGTCATGTCTTTGCACCTACACATACTTCAATAAACATCTATACCACATATGGACATAGCCAAAAATTCTTTCACACCTCACGATATTAATCCCTACTGACCCTATTCAGACTTCCCCAGTTGTCTCAAAATGTCTTTTACAATTGGTTTATTGTAATCACCATCCAAACAAGGCCCACAATACATCTGATTGTTGTCTCTCATGAATCTTTCATTCTAGAGCTGGCCCCCTCTTTTTCCATTCGGTTGAACTTGTCAAAGATGAATTTTTTGAATCATTTTCTTATATTTGGGACATAGAGAAAAACAGAATACAGATATTTCTGTCTCTCTTTTCATCCTAAGCTAAGCTACTGCCCCTAAAAACTTGGTTTTGATTTGTTCTGAGCAGCCAACTTATCCCTGAACTAGACTAGCAAACTCGTGGCAATGGAAAAGTAAGAGTCCAAAGCTCGTGGGATGAATTATCATCAGGGGAAGTGCGTTCTACTGTTATAACTGAATATCTCCATTTTTTAATAAAAAGCAATGACTGAACTAAATGCACTTTGAGTTGTCTTCTGGCTCTAAAACTCTCTGATTATCTGAGTAACTTTAAAATACACATGGCTACTATATTTGAATGAATTTAAGACCCCATATATTGTTCAACACATCAGTACTATGTGAGTCACTAAGAAAAAAGGGAGAGTCCCATTTACACCAGTTACATGATAAAATGCCCGGATGCCACGGAGGGAAAGGTGCATCCTGATTGCAGAGATATGAAAATGTGAAAGAATGTGATTAGAAATGATGAAATACAGTGTGGTTGTCACTTATTGTTGGCTGAAATAAATGCTACTTGGGGGAAGACTTCGGTGAGGAGGCTTTGAAAAGCAAGCACACACTGACCCTTTTGCGAGTCACCATCTCTAAGGAAAGCTCCAAACTGCCCTTGGTTCTAACGAGTAAGAAGAGGACCTTCTCTGTGTAAGTTCAAGTATCCTCTACTTTAAGGCAACCAGGATGAGTATACCGGGCTACAAAAGTGTGCTGATTTAGTGAGAGATCCCATGGTAGCCTCACCGATCGAAAAGAAAATCATTTGTTCCAGAGGGGCACATACCCTTAACTTCCACAGGCAGTATCCCTGATGGAGAAGCTATTTAAGCCCCTAAATCAGTTCCTAGACACTCCTGAGAGGGATTTACTGGCATCGATCCTGCCTATGAAGGAGTAGCATGGTCAAGCTCAATTAAATATCTGGGACACCCGGAGCTGGAATGATGCACAGCACATTCATCACTAGGACTGAGGAAGGGAAATGCTTTGGGACAGCAGTTAGGGAGAGGAGGGTGAGAAAAGAGGACAGCCAGCCAGAAAGCAAGCTTGCCAGAAAGAGGAAGGAAGCGGGAAGGCAGAGTGCCCCTCGCTGGCAGAGGAGCTGGGAGCCACCATCATTCATGTAATCTGAGCGTGATTATAGCCTTGGGCTTAAAGAAAAAGAAGGTAGTATTTCCTTCAGTTCCCTTAAATGTGACCCATGTTTCACTGGAGGTGAGAATAAGAAATGCTATGGTCTATTATCCCTTCAATTCCTTACTGAATTTCAAAGTAGTCAAAGCTCACACTTTGAGTCTGTAAGGGGCAAAACCCCCAAAAGCCTGAGACATGCTTCTCAAGACAAGCCTAATAATGTAGCTAAGGGTGAGGAGAGGATGTGGTGTATACGCCCAACCAGGCAGAATTTGAAACTAAGGGGAAGAGCTAAAAGCTCGGCTCACTAAGAGAGTAGCTCTCAAGGATAAATCCTTACATCTTTAGAGAAATAAAAAGGATCTACATTTGAGATATAAAGTTTATTAATGTTGAAAACAAACTATCCAAAAGAATGAGAACTAATAATATTAAAATGAGTTAGAAAAATATCTGACCTATTCCCAGATAGCTAGTGTAATGTTTCTTAAAAAGTGGCATAAAAGTGCCCCTAGACTTTCAGCACAACACAGGGTTCACAGTGGCAGAACCATTCATAGATGAAATCCCAATGTAACAAAGTTCTTCTGATAACTAACCTCCACCTATTGGCTGTGAAACACACCTTGTTATACCAATTTCCAAACTACAGTGGACAGAGCTCAGTGTCAAAAGCTAAAATAAATGTTACAACATCAGAAGCCATTTTAGAAGCTTTTCTTTCTCATATAAGCTGGTTCACAGGACAGTATTACCTGTTTTTATTAATTCTTTAATTAGATCTTCCTTCATCTTGATGTTAATTGTAAGTTCTCTCATCTTTTGTTTAGCTTCAGTAAGTATGAGTTCTGAATTCCTTAATTTTTGCAAATTTATATCTTGACTCTCCTGGAGACATTCAATCTTTAAATCTTTAAAGAAAAAGAAGCAAAACTGAGAAATGAAACTACCTGTTTATAAAGTATTCAACAGCGGTGAAGTTAAATAAGAGAAGCAGACAGAGAAACAGTCTAGAGGTAGCAGAGGAAGAGGCAAACAGAAAGGAAAAAATACATGGCAATTGGGACTTTAATTTTCTAGCTTATGGTGAGCTTTAGTCATATCCTGTAGGTTCTGATACATAGTATTTCACTGCCCTTAGATATGTGATTTGAGTGTTTCTTTAACCTGAGTTATTTTTTAAAAAGGTATAAAATCTCCAGGGTGGGTAGAGGGTTGAAATTTTTTCCCATTAACTTCTATGTTTATTGTAATCCGAGAATGTGGTCTATAGCAGACTACTCAAAGTGTAGTCCAGCACTGCTGGCGATTGGAATGTAAGTCAACTATATCACTGTTTTAATTCAGCTAACTTTTTGGTTTTTTTTCACAGCAAGACTTCCTCAGTGAAGAGGTTAGCGTACAGAGTTACATTCTGGCATAAGTTTCTTTTTTTTTTTTTAAAGATTTTATTTATTTATTTGTTAGAGAGAGAGAGTGTGGGCGAGAGAGAGTGAGCGAGAGTATAAGTAGGGGGAGCTGCAGGCAGAGGGAGAAGCAGGCTCCCCGCTGAGCAAGGAGCCTGATGCGGGACTCGATCCCAGGATCCCGGGATCATGACCCGAGCCGAAGGCAGCCGCTTAACCGACTGAGCCACCCAGGCGTCCCTGGCATAAGTTTCTTACCTGGTTGTAGACCAGTACCAAACAGTTCAAGGATGGCTACTTGAGTAGGCACTATTTATACATTTTAAAATGTGTTTTATTTGTGGTATAGTCAATTTTTGTTAATATTACATGCATAGGCTCTCTAAAAGATAAGATACTCTCTATTTTCATAGTGTAGGACTTATCTATCATGTGATTGATATTCCCTATGCTCTTTCTTTTTATGTTTTGACCACTCATAGGCCAAGAGAAATGAGTTAAAAATCACCATAGTTTTGGCAACACAAACATTTTGATGCTGTTTTTTGATGATAAAAATTCTCATCCGTTGTACACTAGAACATTATGAGCACTCAGCAGACTAATTTGGCTCTAATGTGGCATGCATCACTACTGGTAGGCAGGTGCGCCCTTGAAGCAGTAGACACCTCGTAAATTACTTTTTTTAAAAAAAGATTTTATTTATTTATTTGAGAGAGAGCAAGAGCACACAAACAGGGAGGAGGGGCAGAGGTGAGGGAGAAGCAGACTCCCTGCTGAGCAGGGAGCCCAACGCGGGATCGATCCCAGGACCCTGGGATCATGACCTGAGCTGAAGTCAGATGCTTAACTGACTGAGCCACCCAGGCGTCCCTAGTAAATTAATTAAAATGTATTTTAAAGTAGTCAAGAGTACAATGTAAATATCAACTCAAGTCTGGCTACAAGATCCCCACTCTGAGACATTTAGCCTATAACTCTAGCCAGGACTGATTGTTGGGAAAATTTTTTTATTAAGGAGTAGAGAGTGAAGGACACCTGGGTGGCTCAGTCGGTTAAGCGTCTGCCTTCGGCTCAGGTCATGATCCCAGGGTCCTGGGATCAAGCCCCGCATCAGGCTCCCTGTTCAGCAGGGAGTCTGCTTCTCCTTCTCCCTCCGCCAGCCACTCCCCCTGCTTTTGCTTTCTCACTCTCTGACAAATAAATAAATAAAATCTAAAAAAAAACAAAAAACAAAAAAAGTGAGAGTGAAAAATTAGAGGTAGAACAGAGAACATAAAGGAAGTTCTATCAACCAGGAAAGCACTCCTACCAAGTTCCCATCTTCGAGAATTCCTAGATGCTTCTTAAATTATTGACTAAAGAAAAAGAGAAGTGTCATAAACATTAAATCTAAATTACTTGAGAAAATCTGTGTACCTTCATTCCCCAAACTTGACTTTTGTGTTTGATCCTGAATATCATTCAATTCAACAAGAGAACAAACAGAGCCTGGCTTTTGAATCCATGAGCGACTTCTAGATCTAAAAAAAAAACATCAGGATCAAAGGTAACTTGTCTGTTAGCATTTTCTCCTCTGCCCTCAAATTAGTTCCCCAAAACGGACAGTAATTTTAAAAAAATTACTGCATGGAGCACTGGGTGTTATACGAAAACAATGAATCCATGGATCACTACATCAAAAACTAATGATGTATTGTATGGTGACTAACATAACATAATAAAATTAAATTCAATTAAAAAAACCCAAATTATTAATTATATAAACAGAATTTTACTAATATTCCTCAAAATAAAAGGGTATCTCCCCCAAGATGAACTCAGTGGAAAATTTGTTTGTTGCCCACTGTGGCAGCAAAATCAAGAAATCCAAAAACACTCTCTCTGAAAATTAAAATCCAACAACTATAAAAGCCCTAAATGTAATATTATTTTTCAATTTTAAGAATGATAACTTTGTTCGATTTTTTTTTCATAACACATTAGCAGACAGTGCATTTAGCAAAAACTACTTACTCTTATATTAAATGGTAAGGATACATGTTAATGAAAAAAAGACCTATGTCTATATATGTTTATTGTATCACATGTTTATTAAATCAGTCAATATTTAACATACCTAATTTCAGATTTCTCTTGGCCTTCAGATTCTTCGTCATCACTGTTGTCAGAAAATTGGCAGTGGAGGACTTCATCTTGTTCTTCTATGTGACCCAGCAGCATCTGACTTCGTGTTCGAAATCCAGCAACTACTCGATCCAGAGAGTACACAGAAGGACTTGTGTAGACCTTACAAGTGACCACCCAACAAAAAAAGTGATTTTTTTAACATTTATTTTTATCCTATTACTCAAAATGTCTTTAAAGAGACATTTAGATAGTTACACTTAAAACAGCCAATTACTGAAAATATGCAAAAGTCAAAATAAATTTCACAATGCCGTGGTGCCCCATGGACACATACATCTTTTAGAATCTACACAGCTCTTACTCCTTCTAGAAAGTTCTCTATCTTCAATGATGCCTTCATAGAAAATACTATTCAAAAATGAAACCAAAGAGAGGCAGGAGTGAGAAGATCACAGCTCTTAAACATAGCACAGGCATGCCCCAGCCAATGTGAAACCCGCACACGGTGTGACAAGAGGCAATGACACGTTGTGTACTACCCTGCAGGAAATCCAAATGGATTTACTCACGCTTTCCCGGTGGTGGTTAGGGATAGCTGACTTAATGCTCTAAGTGACATAGTTAATATGTATCATGGATAAATAGATTTTCATGGGCTAGCCTGGGAACTTTCTACATTATAATGTGCTTCTATTGGCAATGCACCTTAAGCTCTCAAAAAATGACCTTGGGGGGGCGTGTGGGTGGTGCAGTCAGTTAAGCATCTGACTCTTGATTTTGGCTCAGGTCATGATCTCAGAGTCGTGGGACCGAGCCCCTCTGCACTCAGCGGGGAGTCTGCTGGAGATTCTTTCTCTCCCTCTTCCTCTGCCCCTAACCCATGCTTGCTCATGTGCTCTCTCTCTAAAATAATAAAAAATAAATCTTCTTAAAAAATGACCTTGGAAAACAACAACAAAAATTAGAAACTGCCTTTATACATTTATTCTAGTTTTAGTTACCAAATATTTCCTTTTTCACCACCTCTTTGTAACCAGAGTTTTTTCTCAAAAAAGGTAAATAAAATATTAGAGGAAGCATTCAATTTATTACTAGAAATCATTACAAGCTATTAAAATTTTAACATATAGTGGAATATGTATAACACATGGGGTGACAAGATTCAAGTGATGTAGGTCTCTCACATAATCCCTCCCAGAAAAGCCTGCCTGATACTAAAGATTCCTTGATATCTGATTTTCATGGCTCCACAGTTGGCCACCTAGTAAGACCATCTGTCATATCGGTACCACGATGGAGGCAGAGTAAAGTTTTCTAGGCGGACTCCCTATCCTGGGGTATGAGGGAGTGAGGAGGGGAATTACTTACAGAAGAACCAACTCAAGAAGTATTTATCTAGGGCACCTGGGTGGCTCAGTTGGTTAAGCGACTGCCTTCGGCTCAGGTCATGATCCTGGAGTCCTGGAATCGAGTCCTGCATCGGGCTCCCTGCTCAGCAGATAGTCTGCTTCTCCCTCTGACCCTCCCCCCTCTCATGCTCTCTCTCCATCTCATTCTCTCTCTCAAATACATAAATAAAATCTTTAAAAAAAAAAAAAAGAAGTATTTATCTAGGGGCGCCTGGGTGGCTCGGTCATTAAGTGTCTGCCTTCGGCTCAGGTCATGATCCCAGGGTCCTGGGATCGATCCCGCGTCGGGCTCCCTGCTCGGCAGGAGGCCTGCTTCTCCCTTTCCCACTCCCCTGGCTTGTGTTCCCTCTCTCGCTGTGTCTCTCTGTCAAATACATAAATAAAATCTTTAAAAAAAAAAAAAAAAGAATACTTTGGTTGGTTTTCTTAGCATACAATTATGTGAAGTACTGAAAGTGGTATTAGGGATGCCTGGGTGGCTCAGTCGACTGGTTAAGTGTCTGCCTTCAGCTCAGGTCATGATCCCAGGGTCCTGGGATCGATCCCCAGGTCAGGCTCCCTGCTTTTCCCTCTGCTTGCCGCTCCCCCCACTTGTGCTCTCTTTCTCTCTCTCTCTCTGACAAATAAATAAATAAAATCTTTAAAAAAAAGTGCATTAGTTACCTATTGCTTTTATTTCTGTTTTTATATCAAATTTCATCAAATCTGAAATGCTATCAACTGTAAGACACACCATTATTTTTATTCCATCAAGAAAAAAAGCTGTCAAACTGTGACATGCCATCAATTATAAAACATACCCTGCCATCAAAGATGATAAAATGTGACAAAAAATGTGAGTCTTACAATCAATGAAACATGGCAGATTTTCATCAGCATTTTGATATTATATTATACCTAAGCATTGACTGGGACCACCTTTGTAATTTTTTTCTTTCCAAAGTGCCCTTAGTATGTATAATACTGGCTCTTGGCTTCAAGTATATCATATTTACCATGTTAAGAAAGTAGAAACCTGTTATACCTTTTTATATAAATTTAAATCAAGATTCAGTTTTACATTTCATAAGATGAGTTTTTGATATCTACTGAGACAGAGGGTTTTTTTTCTCTTTTTTCCTATTAATTTGATAAATAATGTGGAAACTTTTTCTTTTATTTACCTGTATACTATTTAGTTGTGAGGGGCAATTTCTTTAGGAATTCTGCATAAGTAGATATGTCCTATAATTCCATTTTGGTGTTTAACTTTTCAGGTTAAGAGATAGTTGAAAACAAATGTGTAACAACAGGAAAAAGTACACAATTGTATGCCCCCAGGATAAATATTCAGCTATTAAAAATCATGATGTTATAAAATATTTAGTGACTGTCAAATGTTCATGATATATTGAGAAAAGCCAGTAATGAAAGTACATGCATAAATATAACAAATAATACTTTTAAAATTAAATAAGAGCTTTTTGCTCTTTCCCTCCAATATGTATAAACAAGCATATAAGAAATATTTCCTAAAAAAAAAAGAAATATTTCCAATGAAGAAAAGAACAGAAATATTTCCTCATAAGAAATGCAGACTATTTGCACTTCAAGAAAATATTAGAGCTAATGAACTCTAAAAGAAATTAGCAGAGCTAGAAAATATCAGCTAGACCTCTGCCAAGGAGGCAAAACTCCAGGGAGAAAATGAAATGGCATTTCAGATGTCCTCTTTGGTGTAATTTGGTTAGGTACGGTATTCAGTACGAAACCCTCGCCTCACTCTTAGAACAATGAACAGTGAGCAGGACAAGGCTGGCCATACAACGTGTCTTCCCATGCAAGCCTGCCTTCTCACATCTGCTGCAGCAACCAGTCCAAACAAGAGAGGTGGCCTGGATTCCTGGACACATGGTAGGAGCAAGAGAACCCTCAAAACTGCTGATTCTATGACTTTTACATCTTCCTCCTTTCCTCTCCTTTTACTGGCTAGCAGGGCTCTTTTGGGGTAGAAGGAACATTTTAAAAACAAAACAAAACAAAGGATTTGCTTATCTGAAACAATAACCACAAAAGTCGTTATTCCAGTCATGTCTGTTTCAAGCCTAATCAAACAGCTAGAGGTAAGAACCCCTAAGGGCCTAACCTTTTTCAAGAGCCCACAGAGCTCTATCTCCTCAAAGAGTGTATGTTTGTGTGTGAATGTCTAGTAAAAAAGAAAAAGAGAGACTTTATACTGAAAGTATAAATATGTATGACTTTTGTAATCAGTGGGGAAAAAAAACCCCAGATGTTATTTTTAAAAAAAGAAAGAATAGAAGAAACAGAAAATTCTTTCACATTACGAGCCAACAGTAAATAAATTAAATATAGAAGATATATAATCATAAAGTTGAATTAAGAGTTATCAAATTTGAACCCTTTTGTCATGTTCCATGAAAATTTACCATGTATTCAACCATAAGGAACATGTCAATAACTCTACAAAGTAAAGCTGAGATTGATAATAACAGTGATTTAAATGTTAAAACCCAACCGCTTAGGATTGAAAGCCACACGGGTAAGGGAGCATCTGTGTTACTCGCTCTGAGGCACTGAGCCTGGCACACAGTAGAGGCACCCCACGCGCATGTGCCGGAGACGCGGTGTGCCAGGCAGTTTCAGATTCCTTATCTCACGTAAATCCTCCACACCCCCGACAATGTCTCCCCCAGTCTGACAGATAGGGACCCTGGAGCCCACACGGGTTTAGGCATACGTATAGGCCTATGCACAGAGCTGGTGTTCACACCCAAGCCTGCCACACGGCGCAGCCTCGGACCCCTCTCCTATTGCTCATCCTTTTAACTGTAACCATCATAGAGACCTCAAACAACTCATTTCCCTTCATAAAATTAATAAATCGAAACCAAAACTCATGAATCTGCTACTTAGTCTTTTCCATTAGAGATTTCCATTCCAATAGAGATACCTTGCTTTTCTTTTTCTTTTTTAAAGATTTTATTTATTTATTTATTTGTCAGAGAGAGAGCACAAACAGGGGGAGTGGCAGAGGGAGAAGCAGACTCCCCACTGAGCAGGGAGCCCAATGTGGGACTCGATCCCAGGACCCCAGGATCATGACCTGAGCTGAAGGCAGACACTTAACCAACCCAGCCACTCAGGCGTCCTGAGATTCCTTGTTTTTCAAGAAAAATCTGTGTGCATGTATTTACCACCCACACACATATTTATCAACAAAAATTAAAATGAAACTTCGTATTGATCTTCATAGTCTTGATTATGTCAGCTTGGCATATCGAGTAATAGATAAATATCATTTTGAAAATAATAAAACAGGCCAAATAAATCAAAATAAATACCCTCCAATCTCCTCTCAACCTTGTTGTGGTTAAAGAAAGAAAAAAATTCATGCAAGATATCAGACTAAAGCACGTTTGAAAATATGATGGCAAAGGATAGCTTTTTCTCCTCGGTGAATACAGACATCATCTTCAACTATTCCTTCCAAATATAACTATACATTCTCCTATTTATTAATTTATTATTTAAAAGAAGCATGATGGAAAAAGAAAGAATATGCATAAAAGTCCATGAAATCAAACAGAAAAAAACCCTGCTGAGACCATACAAATACACTGTGATATTATACAGAATATTTTTTAAATCCCAAAATCAGAAAGAGATCAGTGTTTCGACATTACCTTCCTGGAACCGGGTCTGGCTGGGATATAAATATAATGCCCCAGACGAGTATCAAATGGTACAGTACACGGCCTCTTTGTGGCTGTCCTGGCATCTGGCCCATCTCCACAAGGTTCCGTAGCTGAAGAGGTCATTGACAGGTTAAGTTTTGATAGTTCCTCGCTCAGTTGATCCACAAGAAGTTGTTGTTCTATTATTTTTTCATTCTTTGTAGAAGAGAGATGAACATTTTTAAAATAGAGAACCTCCATATGTGTGTAATGGTTAAAGATAAATTGTACATTGCCCCAAACCACAACTACCTTAACAGTACCGTAAAACCTCATTTCTCCACAGATTAGTCTTCTGATGTTCACCAGCATCTAGGATCACTCTGAAGGGTAAAAACTTTTGAAAAGGAAGCAACAATAAACAGAGCCTGAAGAGTTAAATATTCAAAGAAAATGTCCCGCACACTGTGATTGGCTGGTTTGCCATCCTGAAGCACTCTGATTCGTTGATCTTTATAAATGGTTGGCCTTTCTGAGGGAAATCCAAGCAGTAACAAGAGAGAAGAAAGTTGCAAAGTGGAGAATGAATTGCAAATGGCAGAGGTGGCACCAAAGGAGATGAGCTGGTCACAGGTACAGTGAAGTGAGAGCCTTTCCTCAGTGCAAAGAAAGCCAAAGCACAAAGAGATAAAAGATAGGTAACTGATAGTCCTGGGAGAAAGAGGAACTTGGAAATCAAAAGCTGAACAAATTGTGTATCAGGAGTCAGTGGGTGGGTGTGTGTGTGTGTGTGTGTGAGTGTGTGTGTGTGTGTGTGCGCGCACGCCTGTGGCTTAGCTTTTTATGTATCCTCTAAAGAAAGTTTTTCAAGTATATCCAATCCAGCAAGCTCTAACATCAATCTTTGTTTTATCAGCACAAAATTATGTAAACAAGAAATTGTCATTCATCTTAATACTTCACATGTACTACAATGTTTAAATAGGAATAAAAAAACCCTAAAGTTTCATCATGCTAATGCTAAGCTATAAAAAGGCAACCTTGGGTGCCTGGGTGGCTCAGTTGGTTAAGCGACTGCCTTCGGCTCAGGTCGTGATCCTGGAGTCCCAGGATGGAGTCCCGCATCAGGCTCCCTGCTCAGCAGGGCGTCTGCTTCTCCCTCTAACCCTCCCCCCTCTCATGCTCTCTCTCTCATTCTCTCTCTCTCTCAAATAAATAAAATCTTTAGGGCGCCTGGGTGGCTCAGTTGGTTAAGCGACT